TTACAAACTGAATACAAGTATACTCTTATTCCTTTGGTTCCTAAATTGCTTTCTATAATCTTTCCCTCAGATCTGACCTAATGGATGCTAATGTCAAGGGGATTCTGTCAGTGATACCTGGATCTTTGAAACAAACCTTGTTAGGTCATGCTAAATTAAATTTTCCAGTTTCTCAAGCCAGGGAATTGGCTTTATTTGTTTTGTGAATGGAATCTCATTTGTAAAGACCTGGAAAAGCATAAAAGTCTAATCAATACGGTGGAATAGAACAAAGTGGTCTTTACATAAATAGGAAATGAATTCTGGTATTCTACAAAGAGAAAGAGTAAGTTTGTAGACAAGATAATCCAAGTAGTATATTCATTTTTATTAGAATGATGGGATGGAAACGTATTGTAGAACATTAGTCTTACATGGAGTTACACAAATTTATATAGGTTTTATCAATGCATAAAAAGGCAGGTCGAAACAAATCCAGGAATTCAAAAAAAGTATTAGACTATTGTGACAATCCCAGTGATCAAATGCAGAGCTGCTGTGAGAAGAGACAACCCCATTAGTGTGCAGTACAATGTTTCACTGCTGGAAAAAAGAACCTTGTGTATAATCTTTGGTTGGACTTGTAGCACATGTTAACATTTTAACACCACTGACTCAAGGGTTCCAGACAAAGGCAGTATTTTATATCTGTTCAGTGTTCAGACTAAGCAAAGCACAAATGGGCTGGGGTTTGTGCTACCTCATTTTCTATACAAGAGTTCTAAAATTTCTGAGATAACATGAGATCTGATTTTCTTATTGATTTTTCAATTAAATAAAAGATTAAAGAAGCGTGAATCATTCCTGCAATGCTCTGACTGAGCAAATCATCATAATTGTTAAAGTGCATTAAATATGACCTGCAGCTGTTTGTTCTGGTGCAATAATCCTCTCAGCTCTGCTAGACCAAACAAAGGTGGGTGAATCAATAGTGGGATGGCTTCACTCCAAGGGAAGAACAGCATGTCCAGGTCAAGAGGCACAACAGTCCCTTATGTTGTGTCATAACTAAATAGTTGTCTTATGTGCACTGCAGTGATCATCTCAATTGCAGATGATGGGCACTGCAGTGATAATCTCAAAAGAAGAGCTCCGTGTATTTGGGATCTCTGTGGCTATAGCACTACCATGTCACTGATGGGATGCCACTTTTCTCTATACACCATGGACCCTACCTTGTGTTCATCTCCATCCTACAATAGCTTGGTACTAGTGAAGTAAAAGGAAGCTCCTGTATACTTTTCTTGACTCATGTATGTAGCCTGTTGTTGGCTGCACATCCTTTGCGCTCACTTGCAGCTCATGGGAAGTCACCAGGTTACAGCACCTGCATAAATTCCAGGTGGAGAGGACAGAAGTCTGGGCCCTGGGATCTGAATGTGCAGAGGCAAGCCTAAAAGTAGTCCACTAGAGGAGCTCATTCTTGGGGGTGTAAGATGGGTATATATTTGGCCCTTTTGAAGGAAAAGGAACCCCAGAACCCAACCCAAATCCCAATTTGGCCTTCTATTCTGTCCCAGTTCTATTTCACATTATTATGATACCTACCTTCGTCCTGCCATCTATGAAATGGATTTACTCTTGTCTATTGACATGAACTGATGAACAGCTGCTGTATTTCACTGGTGTGTAAATGAACATCTATTTTTATGCCTTCCCCAGCAATGCATTTTGGAACTTACAAAGTTAGCAGTGTCTGCAGAGCACTCTGAAAGCCTTGCACAAAAGGCACTACAACTACATAGAGAGCTACTGTCAGTATTAGTGAATCACTTCAGCCATAAAGGGAAAACAGGTTTCCGGTTTAGAATAACAAACAAGCCACAGCAGTATTTACTGAGCTCTTTAAAGGTAACAGCAGCTATATAAATGCTAAGAATTATTAAGGTTTCTGTGTGAAAAGGTTACTTGCATGGTGAGAAACATTATTGCAACTTTTGAGCCCATCTACAGGCAGAATAAGCACCTTTTGATTACAAGGAACCCAAAACTAAAACCAGCCCTCTCTTCAAAGGCTCCAAGAGGAAACAGATGCTCCCAGCAGGAAGGTTTCCATGCCTGAAAATCCTGTATTGGCTGAACAGTGACTTTGCTGAAACTAGAGTGAACTTCAGCCTGAATGGGGCAGCAAGACTTTGCTGCCAGTTCTGTACCATGGAGCTCCACACACACAGCCTGTGTGCACTATCAGCCAGCTCTAATGAGAGTGAGGAGGGAGTTACAAGTCTCTCCCTTCAAGCTGTGCCAGCCCCACTTTTCAAATTTTGTTTAGAAATAAGAAAAGCCAGACATAGCCCAAAATCACTCAAAACCTCCAACAAAACAAAATAAAAAAGAAAGAGGACTTGGTAACTGCATCCTCTCAGAAGGTCAGCAGGTGCTCTGGATGGGATGCAGCATTCCAGGTGTTTTTCATTCGTTGCCTGAGAGCCCCAGCTGTGGTGGCCAGCCACAGAGGCAGCTGTACACACAGCTTGAAAAGTCCTACTCTAAATGGAGAAGAGCAGACATGCATCTTCCTATGTACAGGGATAGTTCAAGAAGAAGCTCTCTGCTGAGTAGCTGCCTCCTTCGGGGTGAGACCATGCTCACAACAGAATATGCTTGGCAGAAAGGAGAGGCCACGTGCAGATACTGGACACCTGAATGTTATTGTCTCAGCCTGTCTGATATTAAAGTATTTATTGCTCACCCAGCATGACTACTGAAGACCTTCTAAAGATTATCCTCCTCCTTTACAACCATGAAAGAGGTTTTAATCTTAAGAGTGTGGTTGTTCCTAGCTGTTGATCTGAAGAAACTTTAGGGAGAAAGATCAATATCGAGGACAGGCTGCCTAGAGTCCCTCTAGCATTCTCTAAAAAATTCTGTTCATCTTCAAGCCCTTGGGGGGTCCCAATAAAGTTATCCTCTCCAGTGTTCCTTGTTAAAGCAGGTAAGAGTGCAGTCCCATGTAATGCTGTGCAGCTTGAAGTTCCTGATAAGGCTCTTGAAACTTCCACATGCTCAGTATTTTTTCTTTTATGCAGAACTTAAACCTGGATACAATAATCCTCTAAGCATCTTGCATAATTCTTTGGTTCTGCACCAGTTAATCTGCAAGTTTCTGTTAGGCACATTATTTTAATTTAAAAATACAGCAACATTAATTACATAAACAAATAGATATTTTTGGGTGTCATCTTTTATTGTTGGAAAACTTAAAAAGTTTTCCAACTTCAAGTTTTCCAAAGCAAAGGTACTCCCACTCTGTTCTCTTCACCAGAACCCTGACTTCTTACCTAATGTACTCACACAACCAATAATTTTATGACAGTAATATATATGGCTAATATGCACTAAGTAAACTACATTTATTTGTGCCAGCTCACTAATAGGATTCGGGTTTTGTTGTGTTGTTTTTTTTTTTTAACTCACTGAAGCAAAAGCACAACAGTCCAGCTGAATCCTAGGCAGACATTTTTTATGCAGGGCGTATTTTGTTTCCTTACAATCTTCTCTGTCTTCAACCTTTAAAGCAATTTTTCAGTAATTTGGCGAGGTTTGAAGGCAGGTGAAGTGCCCTGATTTATGTACTAACTTAACTCACTCTAAATTAATCGCAAATGTTTTTGTGGCTAAGAGGACACCATATATACAGTTTACACTGCAAAAATGACTGGGTTTTAATGGGGTGGTTTATAGCAATATGGTTGAAACAGCTCTTCACAAACCACCTACAATTTGCACTGCCTTCCCCACACAGGCACTAGTAGCGTGTTTAAGCATCTCAACCACAACAAAGGCCAAAATTACTGTTCAGAGTTCATTTTCCATGCCTGCATTAATTAGTGGGCCTGTTCAAGTGTGGCTATGTGCAACCCTCTCACCAGCTGCTGAAACATCTGTACACTCTGCACTTCTGCCTTAACTCCTGTTACAGACCCAGGGAAGAAGTGCATTGCATAGTGGCTGTGGGTACTAAATCATAGTGTCACATATATGTGTGGGAGGAACATACATATACCACTTGTAGAGCATCTGTGCTGCTGTGCCCAGCAGCTACATTTCTGATGTACTTGCGCCAGTCAATTATATGCCCTGATTGGTTTGCTCAGGGCCTGGTCCTCCTCTGCCCAGAGAAATGCATGTACGTAGCCTGGTGGGTTGGGGATGGGTCCACACAGCACTGCATACGCATTGCAAAAGACTATCACCTGCTCTGCTGGGCTTCCGTTGCTGGACAGACTGACAGAACAAGGTGCTACAGCTGAGGAGGACATCTTGCTTACTGTTTGGTCGGTAGCTTTTGGCACAATTTGTAATGCTCTGGATTTTTATGGAGCTTCGTGTAGCAGCCAAAATGTCACCAAAGCTCAGGGCTGGCAGGAGGACTATTCCTGTTGGGATATCACAGGTGGGAATCTCACCTCTAGGCCCACACACACTTGGAGGTAGAGAGGAATGGTCTGAGCTATCACTGCCAGCAAAGGGAGAGCAGCAGCACCATGGGGCTGCTCCAGGACCAGCTTAATCCAAACAGCTGCAAGGTCTGGGCATCCTTTTGGCACAAGGGCTGAGTGCTCCTGATCCACACATCTACCCCGAGGCACCCATTACAGGTGCACAGCCATGACAGCATGGGGACCCATGTCTGAAACAGCAGGGATGCAGATGCTGAAGATATGAGGGAGCAAACATCAGCGCTGGGACTGGTGGGATCCTGGAGTACAGGCAGGGCTGCAGTGCAAACACAGCTCCCGGACCAAACCCTGCGCTCGTCGCAGTCCTCCTGCGTTCAGCAATGCCAGGCGGAGGCCCTGGCCTGTGGTAACCCCGTGACAAGGGCCTCGCGTGTCCAGGAAGCGTGTGCGGGAGAGGCTAATCAGTTCTGCAAACTGTTCCCACAAGCCCTTCTGGTTCACCATCACGTTGCTGTGGTCAGGGCGCATCTCTGTCAAACTATCTGCTAGAGGGCTGCATTAGCTTTTCCTTTGCTTTTCCTTCATGCGGAGGAGTCGGAGGATGCGTTCGTTTTGTGTTAGTTCTGCTGGCAGTTCATTTGCCTGGAACAAAAAACTTTGAGGTCAGCAGAAATCAAAGAGTATTCTCAAAATGTGTCTTTAAGTACACAAGTCCATAAGAATCCAAGGAAAGACTTTAATTGCTATGAAACAGTTAGTGCTATTCTGTAGGATCAGTAATAGAATATCAGAGTTTGGTCTTCTGTATTTGGTCTAGGTCCCTTTATGGTCTAGGACCCTTCCAACCCAAACCATTCTATGATTCTATTATTTACTGAACACAATTTTGGTAACATGAAGTATTTATAATGAAGCTGCTTCTGAAAATCAGTAATTCTGTCCTGCAAATGTACCCTGTTGTGCCAAATTGCATGTTATTAAAACAAACAAAAAAAAATCAGTAAGGGAGGTTACAGCCACAGACTTTCTTATACTGCACACCCTCTTGCTGCAAATCACCATCAGCAGCAGAAAAGTCTGGCATATGTTTTGGATGACAGTATCAAAACAAAATGCCTAATAAGACAAACTACTGCATGAGAGGCGTTAACTCTGCTGCCATCAAGTGGATTTGTACAGAAATAACGGGCACAGATGTTGTATTACATGAGAAAAACACTTAGAGGGTATGTGCTGGATTACTTGTGTTGCAAACTTTCATTCATCCAGTTATAAACCAGAACTAAATATCGGACCACCCATTCACAGCTTAATAAACCCAGCTAGATATTAATTTCTAGTGGCAAATAGTTCCTAAACATAAGCAGAACTCAGAGGAAGCCATTTTCATGGAAAATATCAAACATGTAATGTTAAAACACCTTACAGAAAAAAAACAAGACAAGCTTTCTTTATAAAAGTTTCTGTTATAAGAAGAATATGAAAGTATTGCAAAAAGCTAACAGATCTACAGTAAGAGGTGGGAAAGATGCATGTAATTTGGGAATTTTTTTTGTATTAGCAATGTGTTGAATTCTAACCAAGTTTTGATATCAAAGGCACCCAGATACACATTTTATCTTGCTGTAAAAATATCCTCCTTACGCATCTGTATGGAGATATCAATATAACTTATGACTTATCAAAACAGTAATGGATTATTGTTTCCCTAAATTGCCACCTAGATAGCACATGAATATTCATAGTTAACTGTTTAACCTGTGGTGTTTGAGTGAGTGCGTGGTTTGGTTATTCTCACATTTCTGTAACTTCACAAGAACCAGCATCACCAGTGGCACTGCCACCACCCTTAGAGACGCTTGTCTGCAGAAATGAATGGACCAAATGATGGTGTTTCAGGAGGGGATCAAGAGGCAACCATGAACTGTCACAGAAGCCACCTTGCACCTGTGGATTGTCACCACCTCTGTGGCACATCCAGGTCCACCACTGGGTGCTCCCCACCTGCTCCTGTCCCCAGATGGTGCGCCAAGGCATACCTTGTTCCTCAGGCAGGGGTCTGCTCCTGCTTCAAGCAGCAGTGCCACTGTCCTTGCATTGCCACTCAGGACGGCTGCGTGGAGAGCAGAGGTCCCGTTCTAGAAAATACCAATTAAGATGTTTGTAGCATGCATGGGAAGAAATCAAAAGGCAGGGAAACAAAAATAGTTGCAAAGAACAAACCGATGGTGAGACCACACCCTGGCACAGGTTGCCCAGGGAAGCTGTGGCTGCCCCCTCCCTGGATGTGTTCAAGGGCAGGTTGGATGGGGTTTTGAGCAACCTGGTCTAGTGGGAGGTGTCCTTGCCCATGCAGGGGAGGTTGGAACTAGATGATCTTTAAGGTCCCTTCCAACCCAAACCATTCTGTGATTCTGTGTTAAGAGATTAGGTCATCAAAGGTCTAGGGTCTGATTTAGACAGGGTGCTGGCACGCTAGTGGGCTAAGAAGGAGGTGATTTCAAGTGCTTTATCAAAATTGAGAGTCAAGTTCACTTTACCACAGCAATATTTCTGTTTTAAAATTACACTTTTCAATAGATTAGAGGTAAAATGAAACAGTACTTGCTTCTGCCAGGCAATATCCACCACTAGCAAGTGAAACAGAAGCACAAACAGTAATGGAAACCATCTGTGCATTTTATCGTCTTTCTCTGATGATTAATGGTCTCAGTGTCAGACAGCTGAATGGTGATTATTTTTATGGCTGGCCTTCTGTCTGTGGCTGCACACTGACAGTTCAAATAAATGTGGAAGCTCTTTCATACTTGTAATGAACAACTAAGTTAAGGCCACCTGGATTTTCAAGTACATCAAAACTGCCAATTAGTTGCAGGCACAGAGGCTATCAAAGTTTGTGATTTATAGGCACATAAAATTAGATCAGCTATTAAGAAGCACCTTCCAAGTATCTATTATTTTTCAAGTCTGTTTTTGAGTTTGAAGGAAAACAGAATCAAGTAGAGAATCTGCTCACAACAGATCTCTTAGGATACTGTTTTGCTGACTAAGAGAAATAGAAGGCAGGGTATAATGCTAAAAACTGCACCATTGAGAACAATCCATTTATTGTAGAAATAAAATTAGATTACAAACCCCAGAATTCTTTCTATGACACAATGTGCTTCCTCATTCCAAAAATCAAATTCACAATTTTGTTTGAAAAGGTTCATTTGTATGTGGCATTAAAGGCTAAATAAGATAATTTAATTCTTCACTTTTTTTGAGCTCACGGATCTTACCGTCTTCCACTGGCACAGCCATAAACTTCAGGTCTTTCATCAGACCCTTTGTCTTCTTGTGTTTCTAACTGAAAATCTGTGTGTGTTTCACTACCAACCTTCAGCAGGCCAAGTGTGGGAGAGAATTTCAGCAACTCTTCTATCACATTGTTGTACCCTTTAATGGCAGCCTTCAGTAAAGCAGTTGTACCGTCCTTTGGAAGAAAAGAGAAGGCCAGTTCAGGTGCTACCCATGCTTCACCTGCATCCCCCTTGGCTGGAGGGAAGCACCAGCTCTCCCCCACACCCCTGAGAGGAGGGCTTCCTCCGCCCATCGTCTTTGAGGAGGCACCTCCACAGCACATGCTGCTGGTTTTAGGGCATCCGGAGGATTGTTCCTCTATCAGGAGAAAACTTCAGGGTAAAATGAACCTGTGACATCATATGTCATCTTTGCCTCTCATTTACGTGGGCATTTCCATTTTCTTATTCCAGACAGTCCCTCCAGGAAGCTGTCCCAGACATAACATGGAAGAAGGAGCTCATGGTGGGACTTTACCACCTGTCAAACAGGATGGACTCTGGGGACACCAGGTCTCCAGGCAGCCTTGCAGCCCCCCAGAAAGCCAGGAGGCATGAAGCTGCAGGCAGAGGGCAGGAAGCAGCGCTACTCACGCCCCGCGCGGCGTCCCGCTCAGCTCCCCGCAGCAGCATCACCCGCACCACCTCGCTGTGACCCATCTGCGACGCGATCCACAAGGGAGCCGTCCCATCCTGAACACACACACACACGCACAAACAAGACTGCTGTTGGTTTCACTTAAAGATCCTGTGCTCCCACAGGATTTGCCTACTGGAACGGACATACTTCAATTCCTCAATTCAATCCTGCATCACAGACAGGCATAGGCAGAGCTGCTTCCAAAAGCACAGGGTAGCTCAGGGTATCAAGTCAGAATGTCTCCAGTTGTGCAGTAGAGAGACCCTTAGCAGCTTTCTCTTGGCATAGTTGGCCTGAAATGTGCATTGCTGTGTGAACAGTTCAAGCCCTCTTTGGTTTACTAGCTGTGCCTAAAACACAGGGGGAAGTTTGAAATGTAACAGGCAAAGGTATCCTGTGTACTTGGAACTGTAGGTGGCTGGATGTGACAAGATACAGCCAAATCTCAGCATTCATGGGCAGATTCTGCAGCTGGGTCTCTGTACCTAAGGAGTGGAAGTTGTTTACAGAAGATAAGAAACACTATATGATCACCAACTTTCAATATTAAGTTACATTATTCACCCTGAGGGAACCTGGTAAAACATCTTGCCTTACAGTGACTGTATTCCCCAAATTTCATCTTCAAGAACTCCACCAGAAAACAAGGCATTTATAAAGGAATCCAGCATGAAAAAGTCTGTTTTAGAAAAGCTGCCCAATGCAATCACTATTTGAACAGAAAACCTCAGAAAATAAAATGCACATTCAGAAAAAGCTAAACTTTGTGGTGGATTTCCATCCTAAAGGCAAAGGTGAGTTGAAGCACTAGAAGTATTTCTACCTCAGTTAGAATTTAGTTTTTTGTAATTTCCTCCTTTTGCTCCTAAATGGCTTGATTCTCCAGACTACAGGAGGACTCCAGCAGTTACATGGTGCCAAACTGGTTCTTGTGGACCTTAACAAAAGGCTTTGCCACTATGGACTTAAACATAAAAGTGAGGCCTCACATAGCAGGGTGCCTGCTCCTGCCTTGTTCCCCTCGCCACTCTCAGCAGCCTGAAGACTTGACAGGAAAAAGGAAGACAAAATATACTGAGGCTTCCAAAAGAGCCTTAATGAGGAGTTTCAGAAGAAAACAATCTTTTTACTTTAAATAAGATATTTCCACCTTGATCAAAGAAGCAATCTCTCTCCTCACTGCCAGCTGAAGATTCATATGACTTGCTCGTGCAATCCAAATAAACATTCTTGAACCAGTTCTCTGCTTTCTATGGGCTAGTGACTTAATCCTTTGGGAGGAACAGAAAAGTTATTTCTTCCTTTGATACAACATTCTGGGCTTCCCTTTTTCTGATTCCGAGAAAGAGCAAATGCAAATCCTAAGACCTTCAGTCTTCTCAAATGTTGAGGAACACTTCACCCACTCTTGCATCATTTCTCTATAAATTAACTCATTGAAATTAGTTACTGACCTAATTCTAGTATATATCCTGTTAATACAATGAGTGTCCTTTGTGATTCAAAAATCACAAAGGCTCTTTTGTATACAGAGTATGTGATGTTAGTGTGATGGCAAAAACTTGTCTCTCTTCAATTTATAGTGTTTTCCCTACCAGTAAGTTGACACTTCGTATTTTTTTCTAATTCCCCCCCACTAGAGGGCTCTAGAAAATAGCAACAGGAGCACAGAAAAAGCCTATAGAACTTGGAAAATACCTGAAAGCAGCCTACACAATTTAATCTGCATGAAAAACCAGTACTGTGCAAATCCACGCTTCTGTGTGCACAAGATATGCAAGCACAAGGATGGCATGGGGAACATAGCAGCTTTCTTTTACTCAGAGTGAAGTTTGCAAGAACAACTCTTTTTTTCAGGTATAAATTAAAAGGAGCAGAAGGAAATACAAATATTGGGTAAGGTCATTATTATCATTAATGGTCCGTAATAGTATTGCTGTTAGACATCTTCCCCAGTATCTCAGTTATAGGGTAGAGGCAAAATTACATTGTAAGAAATAGTGACTGTCTTGGGTGACTTAGCCTGAAGAGAAGCAAGATGATGAAGCTCATGGTGGGTTCCCATTGACTATTGTCACCTTCTCTTTCTGAAGCAAACAGCATCTAATAGCCAGGTTTATGCAAACATGTATAACGTTTATATGGAGTAGGTGGGATTTATGTCCATTTTCACGTTGGTGAATGGTGCTAAGGAGCTACCACATTGTACTAAGAGGCTACATCAGAATTCCTGTATAAAGAGATATTAGGGCCTGGAGAAGAGCTAAAAAGAATGTGAGAACAGGAAAATACCCAGTTCAAAAGCTACTTTCCTTGTCCCTCTGCTCACACAGCAGACTGCAGACCATTACATTCCTAGCCAGCAGTTTCAAACATAATTGGACTGAAATTTCTGATGCTCTTTTTCTTATCCTATTAACTAGTCACTTTGCCTTACAGCTTTGAAGTTCAAAGTTTGCTTCTGGAGTTTTAGAAAGGACCAGATTAGGGTATAAGGTAAAATACCCCTCAAATTCCCAGTAAGAACTTCCAGGGACAGAGAGCTCTTACTGTCAGGCTACTTGGCACCACCTCCTCCACTGTTCTGCTCATCTTGCACCACTACACCAGCTGATTTTTTGCTAATAACTAATTTCTTGCTCGTCTGAAGCCTACACTCTATATAGGTTTACTGGTTTACATATATGTGCAATTGCATATCATGTGTTAATAAACATATAATTTTCAGAGTATTTTGAATCTCAGGCAATCAGACTAAAGCCTGCTGGGAAACAGGCTGCCTAAATAGAGAGTAAAAGTCGTTGTTAAATAATCTTCTTGCTTTGTTTTTGGGTTTGAGAAGCAAAGAAACATCTCTAGGTTTCAGACACTGCTCCCAGCTCTGTCTAGACAAAAAGATGACAAAAAAATTCCTGTCCAGCTCCCCAGTGTCAGAAAGAGCAGAAGGTGGCTAAGATCCAACAGAAATCACATTGCCAGAGAAGAAACTCGCCAGGAAGATTCACTATTTGGTCCTGGGAGAGCTGAGCTGAAGTGCCTGCACACCAACAGCAGCACCCTCTGAGAGCAACGTAGTTTGCAACTGACAGTAGGAGTCATCTGGCATTGGAACTGCCCCATCTAGAGGTACGTTCCTCATGACCAACATGCCACCTTCGAACAAAGTACGAATTTGTTTGTTAGTGAGAAAGAGACTGAAGTCCATCCAACCATTACTTTACTAATTAAACAGTAAAAATGTTCCATTTGTTAAGGAAATGTTTCAGATTACAGTGGGCCCAAGGACAAATGCCACGGACTTATCCAGGCATCATCTTAGCAGGGAAGCAAAGTAAGCCTGTCCTGCTGGAGATGAAACAGAGCCAGAAGGAACATTCACACAGTGAAGTCTTTGCCTCAACTAAGATTTAAAAATGCCTCATGAAAAATTGTGTTGTAGAAATTGGATTAGAGAGCTAAAAAAATACTGTCAGAAAGAATTAGCTGTAAGAACTTCCAGGGACAGAGAGCCCTTACTGTCAGGCTACTTGGCACCACCTCCTCCACTGTTCTGCTCATCTTGCACCACTACACCAGCTGATTTTTTGCTAATAACTAATTTCTTGCTCGTCTGAAGCCTACACTCTATATAGGTTTACTGGTTTACATATATGTGCAATTGCATATCATGTGTTAATAAACATATAATTTTCAGAGTATTTTGAATCTCAGGCAATCAGACTAAAGCCTGCTGGGAAACAGGCTGCCTAAATAGAGAGTAAAAGTCGTTGTTAAATAATCTTCTTGCTTTGTTTTTGGGTTTGAGAAGCAAAGAAACATCTCTAGGTTTCAGACACTGCTCCCAGCTCTGTCTAGACAAAAAGATGACAAAAAAATTCCTGTCCAGCTCCCCAGTGTCAGAAAGAGCAGAAGGTGGCTAAGATCCAACAGAAATCACATTGCCAGAGAAGAAACTCGCGAGGAAGATTCACTATTTGGTCTTGGGAGAGCTGAGCTGAAGTGCCTGCACACCAACAGCAGCACCCTCTGAGATGCTCTATGGTGTCAGGAGCACCCCCGTGGGACTGGGAGATGGAGCACGAGACTGAAGGGGAACTGGCACCCACTGTAGCAGCAGCAAGAGACACATAAGGCAGATGGACACACTCAGACATGCGAATTAAGTCCCCAAATTAGGAAAACCTGGACGCCATAAGGGAGGAGAAGCACAAACTCACATCTGGCACTCTGCAGCCCTATATTCACTGTCATAGGGCTTACAAAAGCTTCCTACAGCAGCAAGAGCAACGTAGTTTGCAACTGACAGTAGGAGTCATCTGGCATTGGAACTGCCCCATCTAGAGGTACGTTCCTCATGACCAACATGCCACCTTCGAACAAAGTACGAATTTGTTTGTTAGTGAGAAAGAGACTGAAGTCCATCCAACCATTACTTTACTAATTAAACAGTAAAAATGTTCCATTTGTTAAGGAAATGTTTCAGATTACAGTGGGCCCAAGGACAAATGCCACGGACTTATCCAGGCATCATCTTAGCAGGGAAGCAAAGTAAGCCTGTCCTGCTGGAGATGAAACAGAGCCAGAAGGAACATTCACACAGTGAAGTCTTTGCCTCAACTAAGATTTAAAAATGCCTCATGAAAAATTGTGTTGTAGAAATTGGATTAGAGAGCTAAAAAAATACTGTCAGAAAGAATTAGCTGGAGAAGTATAATTATGGTTAGCAGAATGCAGTTTTTATGGCAACTTGGTGGAGCTAAATCTAAGGCTCTGCAACTTTGTTTTGACCCACTCAAAAGGCATTAATGCATACCTTGGTCTATCCCTCCACACTGGACTTCTAGACAGCATTAATTAACAGCTTTTAACAACATTTCTTAATCTTAATCTTGGGAGACAGCGTGGAGGCGTACAAGGAGCAACTAAAGTATCAGCCCAGGGAGTAGCAGCCAGCACAGCTCTGGTGTTGGAGAGGTGGAGGAAGAGGCAGCAGGAAAATTACTTAAGTTTGGCCACACAAAATGCTCATTCAGTTTCTTTACACTGCAGGAGTAGCAGGGAGGCTTATGCAGACCTACAGATGCAGGCAGAAGTCATGTAAATCAAACTCTGCTTCCAGGCTATAATTTGTCAGGCTTTTTGGTGCAGACGAAAGAAAATACTGAAAATACCTGGAAAACCTTGTCACATGCCATGTTGTCAACTGTTATTAGAGTTTACATATTCATTTGTTCTTGCCTGCTGATTTTTCACCTGTTGCAGTGATCACACCCACCTGGCAGCCAATACATGACAGATTGCAAGGATAAGACCTTATCCCATCAATTTAAAATGTGCAGTGAAGACCCAGGACAGCTAGTTGCCTGCAGGGTTTCAGCAGACCACAAGGGAGGCTCTCTCAAAGCAGGCAAGGACTGCTGGGAAACCCTGTCTCTAACCAGACATCTCTAGATCCCGGGAATAAAGCTGGCTGTGCAACTCCCACCTCTGGCTCATCAAAGCAGCATCTGCATGTGCTGTTTAAGCACTGGTTTTAGAGTAAGAAACAGCTAAACAATTAAGGAATCCTGTTTTTGGAAACAAAGAGAGCTTTTGTATAAGTTTCTGTACAGCATGTATGTACCCCATTGTTAGTTTAACACCTAGCAGGCCTCTTGCACACTTATCCAGCACCAGGATATGATGATGTGAGGTGGATCCAGCCCTTATTCCCCCTAGCAGGATCTAGCTCATACATACCATTTAATGATCAAACAGCAGCCCCAATGGCTACAGAGGAGCTAATTTCATATTTAATGTTGCCACTGGTTGTATGTATTTGCAGGATCAGGATCACTAGAGTAATGGGGACAGCAAGGCTTTCCACATTTATCAAGGACTTCCAGAGATGAAGGCGATCTAGATGATCTTTAAGGTTTGTTCCAACCCAAATCATTTTATGATTCTATGATTCAGGCTTGAGTTCTAGAATGCACAGGGATGAGACAATGTAAAACTAAAAAAACTTTTTTTAAACTAAAACTAAAAGCAAAAGTTTTTGTTAAAGATCAGCATCAACACCAAAGCCACACTACTGAAGGCCTGGTGATTCCAATATGCCAATTTTAGTACTGTCTCCCACCAGAGTTCCCAGATTTTCAAAAGCTCTTCCAAGCATTTCCAAAAGAATGCAGGGATGTCATAGGCTGTGTAGACCTTCACAAGGAACTCAGTACAACAGAAGCAGATCAGTAGTTGCAAGAAGTAGTCCAAGGCCCTTACATCAAGATTATATACAGCTGGAGGGTTTTACTTTGCTTTAGTTTGGTCCTTGCCCAAACGTGCACATGGTTCAAATCTGTTCAAAGGATCAGTCAGCCGTTTGATCTGCTTTCGGGTGTAAGTGCAACTGGTACAGCAGACCTTGAGCAGAGCTTCCAGTTTCACTTCTTCCTGAAACAATCTAGTTTGCATGCAAGCAGAAATGACTGGGGTATTGGCTTCAAGTCACGTTACCAGTCTGAACCAACAGACAAACGCAGGCACAGCCACAATCTGCCTTTCAGTGAAAACACCTCCATGGGAACCTGATGCCCAGAAAAACTTCCAGTGTTGATTCAGAACTGTAAAAATATTAGACCCCAGCTCTGCCCTGAAGAGTTGAGCTTACCTGCCGTGGCTGGTTAACCTTTGCTCCTGAGGAAAGCAGCAATCGGATGACGTCCAAGTAGCCTCCCTGTGCCGCCAGGAAAATTGCAGAAGCTCCATCCTAAGAACAAATACATGCAACATTCCACATAACATCAAACCAAACTGAATCAGGTTCTTGTTCTTAAGCCATTATGCCATCTAACAGCCCATATACAGCCATGCTCAAGAAATAAATACCAAAATCCAAAGTCTGGTTTAATGAAACCTTAAGGTGAACTTTTCATTCAGTATCCACAAGTACTGGCTCCCACCATATATCAAACAGAGCATTAAATCCTGGGTATGGAATACTAAGAGTCTATTTCATTCAAGCATTGATGTACTTAAGCAGAAGTTCATTCCTGTAAAGCAATAAAGGTCCATTTCACCTTTATATATTCATACAGAAGTGTTCTATTACATAGAGACATGGTGAAAACATGTTCAAGTACTTTGCAAAGCTGGAGACTCCAGCACTGAAGTCTGCCCTTGAGGCTGAAGGAGGAAGTGCTGTGCCCTACTACTGTGCCACCCCAGCAGCTACCATGCCTCTGCTCTGGCACATCTGGCAGAAGAGACTTCACTTGTAATATCACAATGTAAAAATAGCACATGCAAGACAGTTTCTCTCATAGCCATATCGTAAACCAACATTTTCCTGCAAAAAGCCTGTTAAAGAGCAAATATGGGATTTTGTTTTCCCTCAACATTTCTTTCATGTGCAGATGTTCTTGGAATTTGACTCTATAGAAACTTCTTCCTTAGGCAAAAAATGTAGAAGTCATATTTCATTAAGGTTTTTTTTTGATGTAAAATTTTCAAGCAGCGTTATAATGCATCCAATCAACTGGAAGTGGAAATCTGCACTGAGCTTGGGACAGGTGTTTACCCATCCGGTATCCACAGCACTCAGCATAGAGCGTGCTAAGGCAAGTTCTCCCAGGAGGTGAGACTCTTTTAGTTTAAGCAGAGACATGAATGAACTTAATTGCATCTCAGATGTGCAAGTTCACATCTCAGGCCAACTCCTGCGTATGCTTATCACCAAATGAAGGACATTTTAATGGAAGCCTGTTGTTGACCTTGTTGGCATATGTGTTGGGATCAAATGCTGTTGTCTGCTCAGAGATACTGCTTAGCTGCTCCTCTTCCTGCGAAACTCAGCACAGATTTAGTGAAGCATGAGCTGAATGTAGTGCCCCAGGGACTGAATTTGGAACGTTGATTTCAAGACAAATGTCCTGGTAAACAAGAGAGGTGTCTGCTAGCACTACAAATGCACACCCCAGGGCTCTCTGAGGGGCTGTTTTCTCTGGTTGCTATGCAAATTTAAGAAACAGGGTGATGGAATCAGGTCCTTTTCAGTGACAGGTATAGTGACAGCACTTGCATTTAGAAAGTAAACAAGGTTGTGTAGTCATAGAATCATAGAATGGCTTGAGTTGGAAGGGACCTTAAAGATCACCTAGTTCTAACCCCCCTGCATGGGCAGGGACACCTCTCACTAGATCAGGTTTCTCAAAGCCCCATCCAACCCAGCCTTGAACCCTTCCAGGGATCGAGCTTCCACAACTTCCCTGGGCAACCTGTGCCAGTGTCTCACCACCCTCACAGTAAAGAATTTCCTCCTAGTGTCTAACCTGAATCTCCCCTCTTCCAGTTTTGATCCATTATGTCTTGTCCTCTCACTACAAGCCCCTGTAAAAAGTCCCTCCAGCCCTTGGATCATCTTTGTGGTCGTTCTCTGGACTTACTCCAGGAGCTCCATGTCCTTCTTATTTTGGGGGCTCCAGAAATGGACACAGTACTCCAGGTGGGGTCTAACAAGGGCTGAGTAAAGGGGGAGAATCACCTCCCTTGACCAGCTACCTACACTTCTGATGCAGCCCAGGTCAGGGTTGGTTTTCTGAGCTGCAAGGGCAGACTGCCAGCTCATGTTGAGCTTCTCATCCATCATCACTCTCAAGTCCTTCTCCTCTGGACTGTAATGTTAAAAGAGCTCTTTATTGGGGCATCAATCAAGATGGAGAACCTTTGGTTCCCTATCACCCAACCATTAAAAAATTACTAGTTTTTTCTACTTTGTTTGAGGTTTTAGGCTATTAACATATTTCTGCAAGAAATACTATTTAGTTAGGGGATTCTCTCCTCCTCTACCCCATACATGAGTAAATTTAAGATTAAAACATCTGTCTTGATGGTTCTGTGAGGACTTGCATGCTTGAAATTCCTCTCGTTTGGTCACCTGCCAGTGAAACTGACAGCCAGATACCACTCTGCAAATGCAGCTTGGCAATGTCCCACAAAAGGAGCCAGGCTAATACTTGTTTTCGAGAAATTGTGCTCTTATTAAGCAACTATTTCTGACAGGTATTGCCCAATGGCTGTGAGTAATGAAAATATGTCTCTAAATCCAATTGCAAATATTGCTTATTTCCAGGAGAGACATGAAGGAAGTTATTTTACTGTCTTTACTTCTAGGTAAGTGCCTGCAGGTGTGGCAGCATGGCTATTTTTAAACCAAGTAGTAACCCCTGGGATTACCGTGCAGAGGGATGAATCACTGCCCTTAGATTACAGAGGCAATTGCTAATTGCACAGCAGCGGGGATGGAAAAACCCTCTATAAATTTGGGTTGAGGGAAGCATGGATCTTCTGTGTGACCACTGTACAGCTCCCAGGGTGCTGGTGGCTTCTGCAGTCACCAACCCTCAGTTCCCACTCCCACCTGTGGGAGCTGAGAGTGCAACAGCATCCTGCAGATCCAAAGCCCATGGAAACGGCTTCCTCTTTGGCAGTCTTGAGTTCCCTGAGGTAGCAGAGAGTGGTGGGAAGCAGAGGGAAAATCTGCCACTTGTTTCTGTTGAATGCTAAAGAGATCAATTTATTTGTGTTTCTGTTGGAGTAAATTAAATCCAGTCCTTCATTGGCTGAATCCACCTTTCTGAAAAGTCAACTCAACGTCAGCTCAGCCTTTTTAACCATTCTTTTCTCAGAACACTGACAAGCTAGAGATGCACAAATACCAATTAACAGAATTTTAACTGGTATTTTTAAAGTATTCTATAGGTATTTAAGGATTTAAACTTTCACTACTCTTTCTGGCAAAAAATCCCCACTTGATTAACTGATTCTCTAGGACCTCAAGGGCTTTATAGCTATTCACTCTTCCGTCTGCAATGCAAATCACCATAGAACATGACATGGTCTTTTGCTGAAGGCTAATGGATAGCACACATCTGAACCAGATTTAGTACATATACCTCATGCAGATAACAAACCAAAAGGCAGCCAAAAACTTCTTTTCTCATTTTGTGCTGCTTCTCCCAGGATCATGAAAAGCAGGCAGTTAACAAACTTCACATCTCGGGAGAGCAGATCACTACAAAACCGCAATGTCTGGCAAATGCTCCTCTCTGCTAGGCAGAGAGTGTATCCTCTGCTGTCCAACCACCAGCACATTTGTTCCACCACCAGTGTTGTCAACATTATCTGGGTCAAGTAACTCACATAAAGTTGATCATGAATGTTGGCACCGTGCTTCAACAGTGTTTCCACTACTTTTGCATGCCCGTACTGAGAAGCAGCTAGAAGAGCAGTACCTCCTTCCTGTGAGAAGGCAAAGAACAAGTACAGTCAGCTCAGAGGGCATGTGCTGGACTGAACATTACCATAAAAAAAAAAAACCAACCAAAACCACCACAAATTTTAAGGCTTTTCAGAATTTGGCTCGCAGCAGTTCTGCAGTGAGTAGCTACTGAATTTTCTGTGATTTGGCTACTAAGTCTTGCCACATAAAATCTTTAAACTTGGCTCTGTCACTATAAACATTTTTCTCCTGAGTTGTTTTTTGTTGTTTTTTTTTTTGTGAGGGACAGGAACTAAGAAAATTATGCTTTTTCTTCTTTGTCTTCTGTCTTCCCACTAGAAGCTTTGTTCCCTTCACAACTTCAAGCTCTCCCATGTCTCTTCCCTTTACAGTCAAATCCCCCACCCCTGCCAAGCTCTTCTACCTACTGAAGGACAACACACCTTCCCCTGCTCCAAAGCCCACTGATTATCTGCTCTTCTTTGGCCAGAACCTCATGCCCCATCATGTCCTGCATCTCACCTGTGTATTGCTGGCCTGAAGAAGAGTAAGGAGGATGCATTTTAAAACATGCTTAGCTAACTGTGGAAGTGAAAATCTGACCAAACCCATCAGTAAAAGCCCCATTACTTCTGCTAAAGAAGTGACCCCTGTAGTTGGGATCAATCCCAGGCAGTTATAGTTGCTGCACATCACCACTAAAGGGAGACCTAGACACATGCATCAAATCCTGCTTGTACAGATGCTCCCTTGGGAACCCACTAAGAATGGAAACACCTCAATATCACTGACAGTTGACTCCAAGCCAGCTGAAACAACTGAGACAGCAAATGTGGGTCTTGCCATCCTACGTGCACTGTGCCCCACTTATAAATTAACATTATTTCTGCTACTGATTTGGGGTTTAACTTCTTATCTTCTGCCTGGGAGAGACCATGCCATCGTGCAAGGATGATGCACACTCCAAGTCATCCACACCAGAATTCTTCTCTCCTTCCCTGCCTTCTCCCGGTCTCAAGCCCCTCCTCCACAAGATAAGCTATCTAAAGTATTTCAGATAAATGGTTTCTAGATCTGTTATTAATGTGGGCAAAATATTGTGTTTTCCCTCAGCCTTGTTGTCTGAAGCAGCTCCAAAGTTTTGTCTGAAATTTTCCACACAGACAGATATCCACAAGAGAAGTTACAGCTTGAATGGCCAAATGGATCTTTTATAACGGGAAGTGCCAATCAAACGTATTAATCTGTGGTGTTACTCATGCCTATAATAACCTCACAAAAACACAAGATCTGACATGACTGAACTAACCCACAGGGACTGCCTATAGCTACTCTCAAAACCTCACATTTATCCTTCCTCCCTACAACATTGAAAGGCAAACAAGACTTAAGTGTGAGCAAAGTCACAGTGAAGCTGTTATATGACAATCTAAGAATTGCATATTAATTCTGAATTATTTGAGTAAATATAAAGTGTAATCAGATCAGTGGAGTTAAGTTACTTTGTAGCTAAAATGAGTCATTAGACTTTCCTGTCAAACTAAACTATCCTAATTTAATAAGAACTGCTGGAACAAAACACAAAAGCAATCACAATGGTTCCTGGCTTAAAAATCACCTTATACACACTTAAAAGACAATGGCAAAAGCTAATAGCTTTATGAAGCATATTTCCTGTCTCCAACTGCCTGAAAACCACTTCGCTTGAGTAGTGAGTTACCAGATCAAAGAGCTACAAAAAAAAAACTTAAATATTTTAAAATACT